AGTGCAGAAAAATCCGCACTAAACTCGCCAGGTACCTCTATCAGTAGGCAATGCACCATAATAAAGAGCACGAAAATGTCATTCTTTCCGTAAAATGGCACATGAGTTGTGTTTACTGACCGTTAAATGTGAATCACGACTTGTCAGCTACATGTGACGTACATTTAAATTCACATAATGTCAGTCACAGTGAACCTTTCAAATTATTTAGTTCAGGCCACAAAATTTTCTGTTTCTCTGACTGTTTGAACAAAGGGTTCTTCTGTTTTGATATTCATTGTACCTAAGTGATATTATTTAATCTACGAAAATAGGATTTTTTGATGAGTATATCGAAATTTAATGACCTCCCAGTACTTCCAGTCGAAGAGCATTCGACTAGCAGTGATATGATTCATTACTACTTTCATGAGATATGTGAGAGATGCACAAGGCTCCAAAGAAGTAAAGCCAAGGAGCCCTACATCGCTGCTCGCAGCTATATTTAAATACTGAAAATATCAATGCCTGAAATTGTTGGATTTTTTCTCTTCTTCTCGTGTCCTATTCACTCACAGTCAAGTAACAGCAGTGTGAAAGTGCTGGACACAATTATGTAATGTGGTATTAGGCATTAGATTAGGCGATGGTTTCCTTACAATACAACTATGCGAACAGCCTCATCAAGGTCATACTCCACCAAATTTAAAATAAGCTGAATGTCAAAAGGTCGAAGGTATTTGGGTTTTTTTTAATGGATTTGATCATTGAAAGAACTATTGCTAAACTAGGTAATACCTTTTTAACTATCACAGATTCATGAGACAGTTAGTAATCTGTGATTGGGTACTTTTCTGTAAAAATATCTTGGTTAAGTAAGGATTTGGAAAGTAATGTGCCTACCAAATGTCGTAATTTTATAAGTTTTTGCTTTTTGCCTTAGGAAGAATTATTTTTATTTTCAAAGATGATTGTTGAGCATAATGCAACATTCTGTGATACAAACATGTGACACAGTTGGCAACCCCAAGTTATTGGATTCAATAACACGCAATCAGCCAAGCCACCAAACCAAGAAACTGTAACATATTGTAACCCAAAATCCTTACAGAAGGAACAGTGTTTTAATAGCGGAATATCGTAGAGTCTGTACTGGACATTGTTTTGTGGGGTAGCCTAGAGGTTAAAGCGTTCGCTCGTCACGCCATAGTCCCGGGTTCGATTGTCCACATGGGTACAGTGCGTGAAGTCCATTTCTGGTGTCCCCCGCCATGATACTGTAGCATGTTGCAATCTAAATCCTCAGAGAAGGAATATTGTTTTAATTGCGGAATATCGTAGAGTTTGTCCTGGACATGAATTGTTTTGTGGGGCGGTGGGGTAGCCTAGTGGTTAAAGCGTTAGCTCGTCACGTCGTAGGCCCGGGTTCGATTCTCCACATGGGTACAGTGCATGAAGTCCATTTCTGGTGTCCCCCGCCATGATACTGCTGGAATATTGCTAAAAGCGGCGTAAAACCATACTCAGTCAGTCAGTTTTGATGAGTGTATGTATATAATGCTTCTCGCCATATTTCTTTTATTTGGGGGTATATGTAGTGCCGTTTTGAATTTGATAAACCATCTTTAGTCAAACATGACAAAGAAAATTAAGTCAACCTTTCTGTGATATTGCTCATCAGAATAATCAAGTACTTCTCACCAAAACTTAAAAACGTAAGCATTCGTAAATCCAATATCACCTGGCTGCGCATGGTAATCTCTTGAAGCGCACGTAATATATACTATATATAGCTTCGTTGTTTGAAGCTACACGCGGTGGTATTGAAGCTGTGGATTTCCTTTAATGTATAATTGACACTTTCCAGTAATTGGGAGCATATGTACCGATCATAAATGGGATGCCATGACATGCCACCAAATAACAGAGTCTGGCTAACCGATCCCGTTAGTTGCCTCTTACAACAGCCATCTGTCTTTGCCAAAGTCCACCTGTCATATCATGCCAACTCTTTCATATAACAGTAAGTTCACCTGCGTTCTCATACCGATTCTTCCATATTGTTAAAATTCATTTAGCACGGCATGCACATTCTTTCATAGCATCTTCATGTAATGCCTATTCCATTTTACAATAAGCCATTTGTCACATCATGCTGATTCTTATCTATAGGCTATATGTCATATCATGCTGATTCTTTCATATAACTATAGGCCATTTGTCATACCATGTTGATTCTTTCATATATATAACTATAGACCATGTGTCATACCATGCATCTTTCATATTAATATCATTCATCTGTCATGTGATGTCGATTCTTTCATATTACCATAAGCCATCAGTCATATCATGCCGATTTATATATTACTATCATTCATCTGTCATGTGATGTCGATTCTCTCATATTACTATCATGAGGCCATCTGTCATACCATGCCTCTTTCATAATACTGTGATTCATCTGTCATGTGATGTCGATTCTCTCATATTACTATCATGAGGCCATCTGTCATACCATGCCTCTTTCATAATACTGTGATTCATCTGTCATGTGATGCCGATTCTCTCATATTACTATCATGAGGCCATCTGTCATACCATGCCTCTTTCATAATACTGTGATTCATCTGTCATGTGATGTCGATTCTCTCATATTACTATCATGAGGCCATCATAATACTGTCATTCATCCATGCCTCTATTACTATAATACTGTGATTCATGCCTGTCATGTGATCATCTGTCGATTGCCGATTCTCATATTACTATCATGAGGCCATCTGTCATACCATGCCTCTTTCATAATACTGTGATTCATCTGTCATGTGATGCCGATTCTCTCATATTACTATCATGAGGCCATCTGTCATACCATGCCTCTTTCATAATACTGTGATTCATCTGTCATGTGATGCCGATTCTCTCATATTACTATCATGAGGCCATCTGTCATACCATGCCTCTTTCATAATACTGTGATTCATCTGTCATGTGATGCCGATTCTCTCATATTACTATCATTAGGCCATCTGATGGCCATCTGTCATATCTGTCATGCCTCATGATTCTTCATAATACTGTGATTCATCTGTCATGTGATGTCGATTCTCTCATATTACTATCATGAGGCCATCTGTCATACCATGCCTCTTTCATAATACTGTGATTCATCTGTCATGTGATGTCGATTCTCTCATATTACTATCATGAGGCCATCTGTCATACCATGCCTCTTTCATAATACTGTGATTCATCTGTCATGTGATGCCGATTCTCTCATATTACTATCATTAGGCCATCTGTCATACCATGCCTCTTTCATAATACTGTGATTCATCTGTCATGTGATGCCGATTCTTTCATATTACTATAGGCCACATGTCATATCATGCTGATTCTTCATATCACCATAGTTCACTATATTTGGAAGAGGAACACTTTACCGTTATCAAGCAAATTTGCTTGTGAACGGTGTTAGGATCTACACCGAAACGTGTCATCTATTGCAACTAAGAAGTTATCTATCTATAAAGCAGTATTTCTCTTCAACATACCAGCATGTAAATGCCACTTAAAGAAGCACTATAGTTTGGTCTCTGTTTAAATAACTGGCGAAGGTTGTCATTGTTGGAGTATTTGAAAGTCACCTGTGATTTAATAAGCCACACCCTGGTAGCAGTATGACAGATTTTGGAAGCCACAAGTAGTAGGACTGGCCTTGTAATCTGAAACACGTTCATGTACCTTCACAACTTTGATGAAACGATTTCCGTCTTAGAAATATGAAACGTTCTATGCTTCCCGAAATTTCAAATGCTGGTCATTTGAGGAAACTGATTTTTGCCTGAGAATTTTGCTTTAATTCAAGGCAGCTACTTTCTTAAGATCTCTTAGCATATTTATTATATTCGGCAACATGTGGATCTTCTGTTTTCTGGTTTGTCCAAACGTTTCAAACAATTACAAGATTTATTGTACCCTCTAGTTGACAATGTAGCCTCTCTCTTTCTGAATACATCCATCAGCCAACGATGCTACAAACGTATGATTAGGCTTCCTCTATCTTACTTGTACAGTCACTATGGTTCCTGAATTAGATACGCCCAAACTAAGAGAAACTTTGTATCTTCTGACCTCTTGCTTGATCATAGCTGCGTCGACGTATTTGGGAGTTCGTTATTGGAAAGGCTGACCAGGTCCTTTAATTGTGATTGTATTTCTTGAGCATCACTGTACACAACGACATAATACGACTATAAGAAGAAAGGTACATTTTCTGTGGATGTTTCACGGCCGTGATTGAAACCCTTCCTAGTTTGCCTGTTTATTATTTGTAGGAAAACCTAGTGATGATCACCAGCAGACAAAACGAATCCAATCGAAAAATTCATACCTCAACTATTCGGGTCTATGTTTTTGGTTATTGTTTACTTGGTTGTTTTTTGTTTTTGTTTTTGTTTGTTTTTGTTTGTTTCTTTTGTTTCCTTGTTGGTTAACGTCACACTCAGCAACCAATCTGCAAACAATCAGTCTGCACCAGACAATCCAGTGATGAACATCATGTGCTTTGATCTACGCTATTAGGATACGATGTCATGTCTTAAAGAAGTCGTCACGATACGAAATATGTCATGTAAAATCTTAACTGATGTCTTAATGAAGTCAGAGAGTCTGACCACCCGATTCCGAGAGTCGTTTGTTACGACAAGCATGTGTTGCTAGAGACCATTTCTAACCCGGATCTCCACGGGTTATAACCTACACTGAAAGCAGAGACCATTGTTCGATTCCACTTGTGTTTACGAAATACGCGTTGATAATGACGACACTGTCGTCTTAAAGAGCGAACGACGACGAGCATGGGTATGATCCTTAAAACCAGGTATATAATCTGTGCGTATCTGAGATTTGAAATCACGGTTCCTGTCTCGCCTAAGGGACGCAACTCTGCAAGATGTCATGTACTACTGTTATATTATGATGCATTGTCAAACTTTGGTGAGATTCACTCTGACGTCTCTCTCATCGGTCGGACTGATGGACACTCTCTAAAGTCCCTCTACGATGGGTGTGCCATGACTCAATTCCACATTTTCCCCGATTACGATCAGCGATGTGTCTGCACCATAGACACGGGTGATTGTCATAAAGAAAGTCAGGTTTCACCAATATCATTTAACTGAAATCTAAAACAAGCAGTTCTTAAGGCTGGGTAGTCTTGTAGTTAAAGCGTTCATTCATTCAGAAGGTCCCAATTGGTTTTTCTTCATGGGTACAATGTGCAAACACCAAATCCTGTGTCTGCACAACAATATTACTAGAAACGTCGTAAATCTATGCTAACTCACTCTTCGGGCTCTCCTCTTTTAACATAAGCTGACCACCATTTAAAATTCATAGACAATCGTTTAAGATATCATTTCTCAAGCAATGTTGGCAAGTGCTTTCCTCCATAACTAATAGGTCAGACTGAACCTGTAATTCAGATAGTCCTCGCATGAGATGGGTTCATACTTGTCTGAACCATCCAGACATTTAATCATGGTGTCATAATTTGGATCGACAAAGAATGGCATGGATTGTCTACTCTGACGTTTCTTAACTTCCTCTTCAGGAATCAGGACCCGGTGTTTCTGCAAATAAGGAACATGTATCATATATTATGACACACGTGGCAACATAGATGACTCTCCACTAGTTCCTCTACATCAAATATGGACGCGATGACGCTAGATATGTGGATGACCGCAGAAGCATATATTTGACACTGGACATAAAGTCAGGTTTCAACACTAACCTGTGGTCGATAGTGTGGTGATTAACAGTGACTAAAGGTATAAACATTAACCCGTGATCCGTGATTCCGTCGCGCCTGTTTTTTTACTACTAACCCAAGACGTTTACTGTGGATTTGAACCCTACTGTGGAATACTGATCAGAGTTACAACCCGAATTCCAAACTTTCAGCCATTCAAGTAACGTTCCATTGAACACGCACTAATTATCCATAACCATCTCAACAGTTGAACGACATCAATTTCCATCAAAGCAGAATTTGCTCACTGTGGCTTTAAGCTGATCTGCAGTCCATCGCTGCATCAGGTCACCAATGTTGACCAAGATGGCGCCGGGAATGGGCTGAGCAGGAACATACACGCCATCAGTGTTCATCACCTGAAACATGTCATACCACATACATGTCATAACTGTTCATCACCTAAAACATGTCATACCACATACATGTCATCACTGTTCATCACCTGAAACATGTCATACCACATACATGTCATCACTGTTCATCACCTGAAACATGTCATACCACATACATGTCATCACTGTTCATCACCTGAAACATGTCATACCACATACATGTCATCACTGTTCATCACCTGAAACATGGCATACCACATACATGTCATGATATTGTCATCACTGTTCATCACCTGAAACATGTCATACCACATACATGTCATCACTGTTCATCACCTGAAACATGTCATACCACATACATGTCATCACTGTTCATCACCTGAAACATGTCATACCACATACATGTCATGATATTGTCATCACTGTTCATCACCTGAAACATGTCATACCACATACATGTCGTCACTGTTCATCACCTAAAACATGTCATACTACAGTACGCAATCAGTGTTCATCACCTGAAATATGCTATACCACACACATATCATCACTGTTCATCACCTGAAACATAACATGCCAACTGCACGTGATTAGTTTTCGTCACTTGAAACATGTTATATACACATCTGTGTTCCTCACTTAAAATATGTCATACACACATCTGTGATCGTCACTTGAAACATGCCCTACACAAATCTGTGATCGTCACTTGAAACATGTTAGACCCATATCTGTGATCATCAGTTGAAACATGTCATATACACACCTGTGATCATCAGTTGAAACATGTTATACCCATATCTGTGATCATCAGTTGAAACTTGTCATATACACACCTGTGATCATCAGTTGAAACATGTTATACCCATATCTGTGATCATCAGTTGAAACATGTCATATACACATCTGTGATCATCACTTTAAGTATGTCATACGCACATATGTGATCATCACCTGAAACTGGCAAAAGGTGCCATGGTTTTAATATGTCATATTGAAATTATGTCATTTTCGCCCAGACACAAACTGAGAACCTCACCTCTAAGCCCCCAATGTCGTCTTGGAACAGTAGTGTTATTGTGCCATAATCGGAGTGTTCCCCACAGCGAACTTGACCTGGCTTCACGGCTGTAGAAGCAGAAGTGGAAAGTCTTTATAGTTTATCAGAATGATATTATGTTCATTAGAGAGAACTGTTCATTTGAAATTGCAGTTATGTTTTCATTACCCACATTCACACTCACTCATGCACACACAGACACACACACACACACAAACAGACAAAGACACACAAACAGACAAAGACACAGACAGACAAAAACACTCGCAGACAGACACACACGCAGACAAAGACACACAGATAGACAGACAAAGAGACAGACAGATAGACACACACATGCAGACAGATAACGACACACACAGGCAGACAGATAAAGACACCCACAGACAGACAAAGACACACACAGACAGACAGATAAAGACACAGACAGACAAAGACACACACAGACAGACAGACAGAAAAGACACACACAGACAGACAAAAACACACACACAGACAGACAGAACAGACAGACAGACAAAGACACACACAGAAGACAAAGACAGACAGACAGACAAAGACACAGACAGACAGACAAAGACACACAGCCACAGACAAAGACAGACACAGACAGACAGACAAACAACACGCAGAAAAGACACACAGACAGACAGACAAAGACACAGACAGACAGACAAGACACACGCAAACACACAGAGGCAGACAAAGATAAAGACACGCACAGGCACACAGACAAAGACACACACAGACAAACAAAGACACACACGCAGACAAAGACACACAGACAGACAAAGACACACACAGACAAAGACACACACAGACAGACAAACACAGACAGACACAGACACACACACACAGACAGACAGACGCGCGCGCACACACACACACACACACACACACCACACACTACACCACGTCAAACACCCCATACCCCCCACACAACATCCTTCCTATCCCAACGACGATGGCAACACCAAACCTCTTCCACACTGAAAAAAATACCTTTACCTCAACGTTTTATACAACGTAACAGCAATTGTTCAAACAATTTCACACTGAACAGGAACAATCCTTACATCCAGACAGAGCGGGGTAGTACAGACTTCTCAGTGTGGTGGCGCCGCCTTTCTTGTCCATCAGATTGTGACACTCACGCAGGTAATAGCGATCCTAAAACACGGGGAGAAATTGAGACACTCCAGCAGGTAAAATAGATCCTAGAACACATGGAGAAATTGAAACACTGAGGCATGTAATAGCGATCCTAGAACACGGGGAGAAATTGAGACACTCGGGCAGGTAAAATAGATCCTAGAACACATGGAGAAATTGAGACACTGAGGCATGTAATAGCGATCCTAGAACACGTAGAGAAATTGAGACACTCAGGCAGGTAAAATAGATCCTAGAACACGGGGAGAAATTGAGACACTGAGGCATGTAATAGCGATCCTAGAACACGGGAGAAATTGAGACACTCAGGCAGGTAAAATAGATCCTAGAACACATGGAGAAATTGAGACACTGAGGCATGTAATAGCGATCCTAGAACACGTAGAGAAATTGAGACACTCAGGCAGGTAAAATAGATCCTAGAACACGGGGAGAAATTGAGACACTCAGGCATGTAATAGCGATCATAGAACACGGGGAGAAATTGAGACACTCAAGCAGGTAAAATAGATCCTAGAACACGGGGAGAAATTGAGACACTCAAGCAGGTAAAATAGATCCTAGAACACGGGGAGAAATTGAGACACTCAAGCAGGTAAAATAGATCCTAGAACACATGGAGAAATTGAGACCCTCAAGGAGGTAAAATAGATCCTAGAACACGGGGAGAAATTGAGACACTCAAGCAGGTAAAATAGATCCTAGAACACGGGGAGAAATTGAGACACTCAAGCAGGTAAAATAGATCCCAGAACACGGGAGAACTGAGACACTCACGTCGGTAATAACTCTTCTAAAACACAGAGAGAAATTGTGGTAAAGGAGATCCTGAGTTACGAAGACAAATCGAACTCTAATCTTGAAACAAATACTTGAAACTGAAATTGCTATGCTATAAATGGGACGCAATAAGAATCAGATCACAAAAGACAAAAAGATTGAGCCTGAACTTCTGAAACTGTTGCCATCCTTTTACGCAGGCACATAATGCTGAAATTTGAGGCCTGTAGACAGGACATAAAGTACATGTTTTGTTAGCTATATTTGTTCTCAATGTTAATAACTGCATCTCTCCCTTCAAACCTGAATCTACTTTGGATGTCATGCCTGAAGTAGAACACCATGGACTCGCTCAAACACAGTCTATCTCTGACAGACATTCCCACCACGAATCAGCTATGGTTGTCTGAACTATGGATATCAGAACTTTGAGGCCGATATCAACTACACCTTCTGTTTTATCTGTTTCCTTATTCCAGTCCATAACTGTACGACTACCCTCAATAGTGAAAGTAATTGCTGAAAATGATTGGGACAGATTATTACCTATTTGCTCTCAATCTATACCTGCACCTAAAGCAGGTAAAATATATCCCAACTTGCGAGGACAAATTGAATTCTAGAGACAGAGACAGAAACTGAAGGATCCCACACTGAAACATTAAGATGAAATCTGATTCCAAAGGATGGAGACATTGAATCTGACATCAGTAGATTCAAACTATCCTCAAAAGATCCTTCAGGACCATCCTGAAAGTAATGGCTGATATTTCAGACCTGTAGACAGGGCATTAGTACACGGTTTGTTTGCTCTTTGTACTTGGTACCATGACTCTGCTGTAGATGTCATACCTGAAGCTTGAAGCCAATAAACAGAACACTATGACCCCCTCTGTCATCTGTTTTACCTCCATTCTGTAACTGCACGATTACATCCACCTCATTTTACTTCATGGATGTCGTACCTGAAGTTTGAGGCCGATAGACATGACATCAAGGACTCTCTCTGCCAACCGCGTGCAGTCAGCATGAAATGATACAAAAGTTGACTCAAATTGGGCAGGATCTTCTGGCCAAAACTGGAACAGACCAACAGTATGAAACATATTATATTTGCTAAAACTTCAGGTAAGACTTGCCCACGTTCAAAAACTAAAAAGGATTACAATTTAAATCCATCTTACTTATCAGCTCACTAAGACTGGATTTTCCACAGGAATCTGACACTGGAAAAACACAGAGAACGCGGAAAAGAGGTAAGAGGGGTGGAGTGAGACGGCGGATTAGGGCTAGACAGTACAGGCCCCCTCTACCTACACTAGTTCTCGCTAACGTACGCAGTCTATGGAAACAATTCACGGAGCTTGAAGCATGTGTAACATATCTACATCAATATAAAGACAGCTGCCTTCTTTGCTTCTCGGAAACATGGCTAACGGACAGTATTGATAGTGCAAGTCTTTGCCTCGATGGATTTGGTACCCCGATACGGCTGGACAGAGATGAAGTGGCAACCGGTAAATCTAGTGGAGGCGGCGTATGCATGTATGTCAATTCTAAATGGTGCACTAATTATGTTGTTCGAGATACTGTGTGCACACCCGATATCGAACTCTTAACTGTGTCTTTCAGACCGTTCTATCTACCAAGGGAAGTCGGTCAAGTGTTTATAACTGTTGTGTACATTCCACCTGATGGAAATGATAAACTTGCTTCGGATGTTTTATGAGATTTTGTTAATAAACTGGACATGCTATCGGCGGATGCTCCCAAATTCATCCTTAGTGATTTTAATAGTTGCAATCTTAAGTCATCACTACCACACCTATATCAGGATGTGAACTGTAAAACAAGAGGCGAGAAGACAATTAACCTCTGCTATGGGACAATCAAGAACGCATATAAATCATTTTGCCAGCCACCTATCGGAACTTCTGACCATAACGCAGTTTACTTAATCCCAGCTTACAAACAGAAACTTAAAACTGAAAAACAGTGAAAAAATCAGTGAAAGTCTATTCTAAAGAATCCATTGATGAGTTGAAAGCATGCTTTGATAGCACAGCTTGGGACCTATTCAAGCAGGACTCCGATAGTGTTGACGAATTGTGTGAATTACATAAACTTTAGCGTGGACTCCATCGTACCAAATAAAACAATCAAGATCTTTCCGAACAACATACATGGGTGACAAAGGAGTTGAAAGCCCTACTTAGTGACAAGAAACGTGCATTCTGTTCAGGGGACAAGCTGAGAGTTATATCAGCACAGAAGGACATATTACGACATATTAAGGAGTGTAAGCTCAAGTATATATACAAAGAGTGAGTGACTTAAGATTTAAAGTCGCATCGGCAATATTTCAGCCATATCGTGACTCAAGTACAAAGAAAGGGTCGAATAAAAATTTCGGGAAAATAACCTTCGGGATGGATGGAATTGTTTAGCAACTATTTTTGGAACCAATCGGAAGCAAACGGAGATTAACGTGAATGACAGTCTAGAGTTTGCTGATGAATTGAACATTTTCTATTCTCGTTTTGATGAACATGACTTTTCAGAGGAAAGAAATCATCTTTTGGGAAACCTTTCATTCTGCGAAACTCCAGTAATCTCCACTGATGACGTCAAAGAGTCGTTTCGAAGATTAAACTGACGCAAGAGTGCGGGCCCCGATAATATCACTTGTGCTGTTCTCAAGGAGTGCCGTGATAAGTTAAGTGGTGTCTTTCAACAACTTTCCCAAACTACCCTGCTATTCAATCATATACCCAGTATGTGGAAAACATCTAACATTGTACCACTCCCGAAAAGGCAAAACCCGAAAATGCTAAATGACTATCGCCCCGTTGCTCTGACATCGGTAGCCATGAAGTGTCTGGAACGCATTGTGAAATAGCTACTTATGCGCGAGGTTGAAGAACATCTAGACCCACTCCAGTTTGCTTACCGACAGAGAAGAGGCACAGACGACGCCACATTAACCCTCCTGAATCTTATCTATAAACATTTAGATCAAAATAGATCATATGTGAGAATTCTGTTCGCTGACTTTTCCTCCGCATTCAGTACCATTCAGCCACACTTACTTCTGTCAAAACTAACAAACTTAAGTGTTAACAGCAAATCTGATCAGATGGATAGACGCTTTCATGACTGACAGACCTCAGTATGTTACTGTTAATGGAATCAGTTCCTCGGTTACCAACCTATCCCCTGGAGCTCCACAAGGATGTGTTTTGTCACCCATATTGTTCATCATTTATACCAACGATTGTATCTGTAAAGCAGTTATCTGTTTCATTATCAAGTTTGCCGATGGCGCAGCGATTGTTTCACTTTAAAATCTGCTGACCTTGATTACAAAAATGCAGTCTTGAATTTTACTAATTGGTGTAAAGAAAACTTTTTGGTTTTAAAGGCTAAGAAAACGAAAGAAATGATTATAGATTTCAGGAAATCAACAGGAACTCTTTGGACCCTATTGTAATCAACAACGAGGAAATTGAAATTGTGAGAAAATACCAATATTTAGGAACTGTCATTGATGGTAAGCTTACTTGGAATGACAATGTTGATTACCTGTATAAGAAAGGCCAGCAGATATTGTATTTCCTACGTCGTTTAAACAACTTTAACATTGGTTGTTCTCGTATGGTACTGTTTCACAAAACATTCATACAAAGTATTTTAACTTTTAACCTTCTTTGTTGGTTTGGTAACCTGTCTGTTCAAAATAGAGCTAAAAACAAAAACTGAGTCAATGACATCTATTTAACATTGATCTGTTTACGATTTTGAATTTCTTTATGGTCGTCTGCGCATGCCGTTTAGAACAAAACATCATTATACAAAGTTAATTTTAATATTTTAACCTTCTTTGTTGTACCATTTTGGGTTTTTACCTCAACATTTCAGTTCAAAATAGAGTTTTAAACTCAACAAAATTGTTTAATCTCAGTGCTTACTGAAAAATCATTGTTGTTCTGTCTCATGTGTTTGACGATGTCAATAATCTGGTAGTAAAGTATTATCTTATCTTATCTTATCTTATCTTATCTTATCTTATCTTATCTTATCTTATCTTTTAAATCTGCGTTTAATGCAAGTGGGTAGTTAGACCGTATTAAACAGTATTTCAGTTTCATCAGTGTGGATGAATTCCCGAGCTGATGCAGGCCATTGATAATAAAATAAAAAAAACACGGATATTTAATGGTGTCAAACCCAGAAAAATGTTTTAGCTAACTAGGCCTTATGTTTATGTGCCAAAATAAAAACACAGGTTGATATTTCTATCAATCCGTCTTCAAAAACGTCTTGAAATGGTCAAGTGCCATGACAGTGGTTAGAGGGATGCCAGGATTCGTCCGAAGATTTTTCTAATGAGCAGTCTTCAATTGAATGCCGGCAGACAAGCAGGATTGACATAACCAATCTTTACGTCCAACCAGAAGGAACATACACATTCTTGATAATGACCAATTCTAAATACCCCATCATGTCCGGGTGTAAAGTTGAACGCTTCCTTCAGGTCTCCAACCTTTCTCTCGGGATTCAACCTTTTGGGGAAATAAACAAAGAGGTATCACTGAACTGAGCCGTTTGGAGCAGTATATCAGCTATGCACAGATATTGGATTAATGTGATAGGAAAGCGCAGGTTGATTCCGTCTGGTAAATAATCGAGTCAGAAAACCAGTGATTAATATCAAGACAAACGACCAACTGGTCCGCAAGTATGTTGCTGGGGTTCACTTCTAATACGTAAATCCCCGTGGGGGTCGTATGGTAGTGAACCCCAAGAGAACTGGTACGGTGATTACGTTCAATGGAGAGTTTGGTCTCGGGTTCGAACCCAACTGCAGCATGACAACGAGATGCAACAGTACACAAAATGTTGCTACATATTTGAACGTGTGTATCTACGTCACTGTTGGTATGGTATGTCACCGTAAATTGAGCAAACAGAGGTGATTATAACAAGTAGGACTGTTACATCACCGTTGTCACCAGCATGGACACACTAACGTCAGTTCCCTTTTTACCTACAAACCCACTTTAAGTGTATATCTCAGCAACTTCACTCCAACCAGTTTACTAGGATATAGGTAAAGTAAATATTATTCGTAATCTGGCCTTATCAGCTAGTGATTATGAACATGAATCATGTACATTTACTCATATATACATAGATATCGATAGATAAGATCAAATCTAAGTATAATGCATAAATCAAACGAAAAACTAATGTTTTGGATTTCCAAAGTGCAAAGATTATTTTGTGCCTCACGTTTCGCTCTCCACGGCAATCCAGCCATTTTCACCATGATCTGCCGGAACTCGGGAACACTTCCTTTTCTCTTCCACAGGTTGATCAAAGAAGGACTTCGACACGGAGAACATGGCATCGACCCGAAACACAAAACGGTACTCAATAAACTCATTACATGTGTGATGGATGATGACACTGCATGAATATACTCATTACAAGTGCGATGGATATGACACTCATAGGAATATTCATGTGTGATGGATGATGACACTGTATCAATATACTCATTACATGTGTGATGGATGATGACACTATATCAATATACTCATTACATGTGTGATGGATGATGACACTGTATCAATATACTCATTACATGTGTGATGGATGATGACACTGTATCAATATACTCATTACATGTGTGATGGATGATGACACTGTATCAATATACTCATTACATGTGTGATGGATGATGACACTGTATCAATATACTCATTACATGTGTGATGGATGATGACACTGTATCAATATACTCATTATCATACTCATTACATGTGCGATGGATGATGACACTGTATAAATATACTCATTGCAAGTGTGATGGATGATGACACTGCATCAATATACTCATTACATGTGTGATGGATGATGACACTGTATCAATATACTCATTACATGTGTGATGGGTGATGACACTGTATCAATATACTCATTACAAGTGTGATGGATGATGTCACTGTATCAATATACTCATTACATGTGTGATGGATGATGACACTGCATCAATATACTCATTACATGTGTGATGGATGATGACACTGTATCAATATACTCATTGCATGTGCGATGGATGATGACACTGTATCAATATACTCATTACATGTGTGATGAATGATGACACTGCATCAATATACTCATTACATGTGTGATGGATGATAACACTGTATCAATATACTCATTGCATGTGTGATGGGTGATGACACTCTATCAATATACTCATTGCATGTGTGATGGGTGATGACACTGTATCAATATACTCATTGCATGTGTGATGGATGATGACACTGCATCAATATACTCATTGCATGTGTGATGGATGATGACACTGCATCAATATACTCATTACATGTGTGATGGGTGATGACACTGTATCAATATACTAATTACATGTGTGATGGATGATGACACTGTATCAATATACTCATTACATGTGTGATGGGTGATGACACCGTATCAACATACTCAGTATATGTGTGATCGATGGTGGCACTGTATGAATATACTCATTACATGTGTGATGGATGGTGACACTGTGTCAATATACTCATTACTGGCATGACACTGTATCAATATCAATCAATCTTTATTCATGTGTGGCCACAGGCCCATGATGACACATGAATCAATATGAACATTGTCATCAGTACTCATTAACAAAGAAAATTTCACTCTATCAGGATATACAGAATAATATCTTGGGAAATTTTTTTTTCTTACTCACAATATAATGGGCAAATTAAGAGGAAGTGATATTCATCTTCTACACAATTAAGATCACAAAATGTACAAATTCTATTTTCCCTCTCTATTTTATGATATCTCCCTGTTTCGATTGCCATGTCATGTTAGGAACACCTAAACCGAGCAAATGCCTTTCGAAAATTCTTGATATTTAGTGACAGCAGATAATTCTCTGTGTATATATGGGATTTAAACATTCTATAATAGAAACATTTACTTGACAATGACAGTGCTCCTACCCATTCTTGTGTATATATATCTTTGAGCCTTTGAGTAACATTATTCACCAAATTTGTATGAAAGTCAACATTTTGCCTTTGCCATACCTCCCCAAAACCTATTGTATTTAACAATTCTCGAATGTTAGTCACCCAGTTAGTCTTCCCGTTGTTATCGTACATTAACATCATGTCATAACACTGTCTAGGGTATCTATCAGATGGCATATATAACAGACGTATCCAATATTTTATTATTCTAGCTTTAGCAAAAATGTGTATGGGAAATCTTCCACAATCTCCATATACCATGGCATTAGGTGTACTTACTTTCACTCCTAAAATTTCTTGCAAGTATATAAATGTATTTTCTCAATTACGTCAAAATTACTGAAACCCCATACCTCTGAACCATACAATAGAATAGGAAGGAGTTTTGTATCAAATATTTTGAAAAAAGAATGATAATCAATATCTACGAGTTTGTTAATACTTTTGAGAACCCCAATAAGTACCTTTTTGGCTAGTGTGGAACAATATTTAGCATGTGCTGAAAAGCCAAGACGATTAGTGAAGTAGACTCCAAGGTATTTATATGATTGTGTGACTTGGAGCGGCTCTCCTTTATAATACCATTTTCCGTTTTAGATAGTTTGCCCCCAATTTTGAATACGATTATTCTAGTTTTCTCAAAATTAACAGTTAATCCTGCCACATTACAATAATGTTCCAACTCACGTATATGCCTTTGTAATCCAACAACAGTAGTCGCAAACAGAATCATATCATCGGCAAATAACAATAAAAACAATTGTGTCAAATAGGGATGTAACTGGATACCATGAGTACCATTTTGTTGTATTATCGAAGCAAATTCATTAATGAACATTGAGTACAGGAATGGACTCAGAATACAGCCTTGTCTAAGCCCAACATTGCAATTGAAGGTATCTGATATTTCATGATTATTTCTGATGCAAACTTTCACATTATCATATATCTTCTGTAGCAATCTATTCATCTTAGGGCTAATACCATGTTTTTGCATTACCCCCCAAAGTTTTTCTCTCTGTATTGAATCAAACGCTTTCTTAAAATCGACAAACAAAGCATACATTTTCTTTCCCTTTGTATTTAGACACTTCTGAACAATTGAATTAAATATAAAGATATTATCGACAGTACTGTATAATATCGACAGTACTGTATCAATATATTCATTGCAAGTGCGATGGATGATGTCATTTTAGCTACATACAAATTAGTAAGGACGGGAGATAGGTGCACGGTGTCAATACACACATCAGATGAGTGAGAGATGGGTGCACGATGTAAATATACACACCAAAACGAGTGGGAGATGAGTGCACGGTGTCAATATACTCATCAGACGAGTGAGAGATGGATGCACGGTGTCAATATACAGATCGGACGAGTTATAGATGGGTGCACGGTGTCAATATACAGATCAGACGAGTGAGATTTTGGTGCACGGTGTCAATATACACATCAGACGAGTGAGAGATCGGTGCACGGTGTCAATATACTCATCAGACGAGTGAGAGATCGGTGCACGGTGTCAATATACACATCGGACGAGTGAGAGATCGGTGCACTGTAGCAATGCATCTCTCCCTACTACCTATGCAACATTTGATCATAGACTTCCCGATTAGATAACGGCGCGACCTACTTATATAAGAAAACAAGTGCAAGGTGGCCTTGATCCCAGGTAACCCCGTCAACAGGGTCTTTTCAGCCGCAGTTACAACTCGCTATTATCTAACGGGCAAAACAAGACTAAGGAGGTAACGTTTAACAGCAAAACTATGGAAGCAAATAGGCCTCCCGGTGGACAAAATATTTAGACATCAACCACAATACATTAGAAACAGGATATGCTGTTTACCTTTCTCTGCTCAATCCCATGATTAATCAGGTACAGAAAGCCTATTGTACTAAAGGCATCATATATCTCCCTGGCCGTGGTCTCCAGGACGTCACTCGTCACGGACTTGGGGTCGGTAACATTCAGTCCGTACTTCTGGAAGTCAACAATTGGGATAGCAGACGCCGCCATAGTCGCACGATTAACCTACCTACGAAAAACTCACCCACGTCACGTGGCAGACACGTAACCTCTTACTGACCTGTATTTATACTGTTCAAAACAAGTTGAGGCTATTCAGAATACCTTAGCATTTGCAGAGTCATAGTTTTTCTGAGTATGGTTGTGTGATAATAACTATCGAATTGAGAACACATAACAGCCAGTAGTGAAGTATAACAGCAGATGACCGTCTTTGACCTGAATGGATAATAGGTTTAAAATAGGGGTAAACTGGACAATTTCAAACGGTTTGTCAAAACATTCCTTCACTCGAGGAGGTGTACTGCTTGTGGGCCGGCTAATGGCGATTCTGGGTAAACAATCTCACTCCTTTTGCAGCGCTTGGTCAAGTTTAACCCTCAGGACTAAGGATTTTATTCTCATAAATCATACAAAATGATATCGAGAACATGCATATATTTTGATGAATACAAAGTTCCATTTTGGCTTATATGCATATGAATATAATATAAATGTATAACTAAAACAGGGATAATACAATTTCGTTAAACGTGACAGTTTCTGTACCAAAGGATGATAGTCAGATTTCATAAGGGAAACAAATTTATCAATATGGGGGTTATAACAAAAATAGCTAGGGAGTATACTTTTTCTTACATCATCTAGAGCTCTGCATGATAATATAATATGAAATTCGTCACATATAACAGGCTGGTTACAAATTGTACATATTCTATTTTCCGTGTCTATATTATACCATCTGCCGGTTTCAATCGGTAATCTGTGATTGCATGTTCGCAGTTTTGTTAACCAGATACGTTGTTTCAATGGGAGACTGATTAAATAAGGTTCTAACGTGGTTGGTGGCCGTTGACGTTGATGCACACGTCTTCCTATCATGTCCCAGACGTGTTGGGAAAGGTCTGGGCTCATTGCTGGCCATGGTCTTGTATGGATGTTCCGGTGCTGGTTGTGAGTATTGACGCTTCGTCAATAAGCACCATCGTTGTCGTACAGAGAGACAAAACCCAAAATCCACATAATAATAATACTGAAAATTTATATAGCGCTAAATCCAACCAATAAGAGTATGCCCAAAGCATATCAAATGATATACATATTTGGAATAAATCACAATCCCATCTCCAAGTCGGTTATCACGACATACACGAGGACTGTTCACGCAGTGAGTGGGTCAGTGAATATTTACCACAATGGAGAAATAGAACGTGAGTGGTGGACGGACAAACAGTGCATGTTTTCAGAACGAATTACTTGTTCGAATCCGAGGCTACCGGCTCCGTCAATGAAAATGTTTACAATTCATATATATCTCTATATGTTGTTCCTTGTGTGCGCTGTCTTGCACACAGTGTAAGGATTTTTATTATGAACGTATTCTCAGTGGAAGAGCACCTTATCCCACGAGGCAATGTACACAACGGCAACCAAAGAGGCAGGTACCTGCCACCAAAGACGTAGGTACTGTCAACAAAACAAAAGATACAAATATAATTTTTTAAACAAATTCAGGAACACAAAAAAACGAATTCAATGAACACAGTATGTCAACAGATTTCCAAAATCCATGTCGAAAAAAGAAACAAGTTCATGAAGTAAGTGCAATACATGACCTGTGGTTATATTAGTAAGTTTCCTAAACATTGTTTTAATGTCATACATTCTCTTTTTGTCACATTGTAGCGCTTATTAACTGCGCAATTTGGATTTGCCTCGGGATAATAGATTTTATCGTATCAGAGTGTTCAAATCGGCTCTATACCCCAACTCGGACACTGGGCTGTTTTATCCACTGTCGTCGGAAAGACACTCAGAGACAAAGTTTTGGGTTTATTTCTTTTTATTGGTTCCCAAGATTACAATATCAGAGATATACCAGATAGACAGAGCCTTGATACATACGGCTTAAAGTAATATAGCTACATGATGTACAGATAAACAGATGTATATTTCGGTTCCATCAACCGAAATAGTTCAGTATCATCAGCGTATTGATCCAGTTTATTATTATCACTGACAACAATACCTTTAATGTTTTTATTGTTTCTTATCATACAACCAAGAGACAAAGGTTAGTGTGCCATGAAATATTTTAACGATCAACTTATCAATGGATTTGGGGATTTGCACAAGAGAAAGAATGTGTCAAATTGGTTCAAACGCAAACAAGGAGCATTACATATTCGAGACAAGAGGCCGACAATGTTTACTTTAAATGGTCAGACAAGCAGTCTACCACCATTTCCATTAAGCACAGTCAAGAAGTGCAAATGTCAGACTAACACATCTATTCATCGTTCTGGAACAAGTTCGACATGTGCTATAGGTAATCTTAAAGGTGAATACGAACGAAAACAAAACTTTTGATATATTATGAGGGATATTCTAAAAGTCACATTCCGTGATTACAATTGAACTAAAAGTTTGTAAAATAGCAATAAAAACACAAAAACGTACTCGTATTACCACCTAGTGCGGAAACACCCGACAGTTAATCAGCGGAGGGGGTATCACTTGACATGACGTCATATGTGCCTGTTGCTGATGGCTTCTTCTTTGATTTTGCCTCACAACTTAACAGTGTCCATGGATGCTGAAGCATTAAAGATGTTCCTGATGTCATTTCTGAACTGGATGTTAGACCGTATCAGTACGATCAGATTTTACATCTTGCAAGACAATCTTCCAGTGAAGATGAAGAAGAAGAATCAAGCGGAACGGGGGCACCGCTTGAGGTCAAAATAAATATAAAGATAGACCATATCATTTAATAAGAATACTGTTTGTCAGCAAAATGTGATATAGTTCCAACCAGCAAACCCACCCCTATAAATATATGACCAGTGCCTAAAATGTTTTTTTTTAATGTTATTGCAGTTCCTTTTGAATCAAATGTGTCAAGGTGTCTTGGATTTAAAAACAAAATAATTATGCTTCAGACGTGGGAAAATAGAAATTACTTGCTACAAACAAAATTACACTGGAATTATTTTGTTGAAAAAAAATAGGATCTTGGTTCTCATTAATAACGTATCAAGTCTCCATACAAGATCCCAGCCTGGTTAAGCAGAGATAATATTCGCTACGCAGATAAGTTATTCCCCCAAACTGGTGAATTATATAATACTAGTCAGGACAATGTATGTTTCCGTAGTTTTTGGGTATGGAAATAGTTATGTTACTCGCTCATAGCCTTAGAATGACATCTTGTCAGCCAATGAATACAGAACAACTTTCACGGCACATACTACTGACAAAAAGCGAGTCTGATGCCGACGTGCGTAATTGGACAAAATGGAAAACAGTGAAAGCAACAAGTACTTCATGGTTTGCCGTTGTATTCGGCAATGTTTCGGGTAGACTGCAGCATGTAGGGCTCCAACCGAAAAGAAAGTTATAACGAAACACTACCAAGCTCATGTGAAATCTCTTACTGATTTTGATAATTAATATATATCTCATGGGTACCAGTTGAACTGACCCAGCTACAAAATGTCCCAGCAAATTTGGTCATTCATTCTAATTTGGTCAAATGTATTTAAAATGATTAAATATATGCCGTAAAATGCATAGTTTTTGTCAACTTTGATATTATGTTCTTCATATAAAAGTTATTAGGAAGTAATATTTCTGAAAAATGTTCCATTAGTAAACTCATAACTATGTATATACTTTTATATGAAGAACATAATATCAAAGTTGACAAAACTATGCATTTATGGCCTATATTTAATCATTTTAAATAAATTGGGGCATTTTGACTACCCCCCTGGGGCAATTTGACCAAAACTTCGGGGCAATTTGACCAAATTTGCTGGGGCAATTTGTAGCGGGGGCAATTCGACTGGCAATCGGACTTTAATTTAATTTATGCTAAAAATACCACTGATAGTAAGTTGTAACAAGAAATGATGGAGTATAAATGAATCTCTTGGGTACTTCTTCCTTCTTCAGCATAGGTTTGGGATTTTCATACCCCATGTGTGCATGTCTCTTTCATATGCGTCCGATTCGGGAATGATCGGAGCATTTCTCCTGCCTAAATCTGTCTCTTTACTTGGAAGAAGGAAGAAATGGTGGCTCTTTCCATTGTTCGATGATTCTGTGCATCCCCAGGCAACGGAATACACCATCGTACCATTTACAAAAACGACAGAAACAGCACGATTTGTATTACTGTAGCGCTTGTTTCTTTGGCAATATGGCGGACGCTTGTCACATATGACGTCACGAGCGGAAAGATCACGTGAGTTCCAGCGGAATATGCATAATGGCCGAAGCTCAGATAACAGAAACTGTTTTCGCGATAAAAACATAATAAACCATATTTTTGAAATAAAAATTGGGGTACATGATTCTGATGACTTTATCTTTCACCCAGCAAATTATTGCAATTATATTTTATTCTCCTATAAGTCTGTTACCTCGAAGCGTGATGTTGCTCGTCGAATTAACGTTCAAGAAAACACCATTTCGGGTACATATGGTGAGGTTTTTCACAATACGATCAAGTTATAGATCGTCCCGAAATGGCCGACCAATAGTAACAAAGAGCAAAAGTCAGAAGAACACATTCATCGTTCTGGAACATGTTCCATAGGCCACGCCGTGTTTGTTTTCTGTGTGCACAATAACTTTTGGTTTTGAGCATATTATTTTGGACCAGACAAGCCACGAATGGAGGGACTCAACTCGTCACAACCTTGACGACTGGCAAACGTACCATAAATGTGATCTACATATGATCACCTTAATCTGTATATTTAGACCTAATCAGTAAAGTACAATGTGAGATTTTCTAACCAAGATTCAATTTATATCCTAATACGTATCTTACCTCATATAATTTAAATGGTCCTCAAAATAAATATTCTTGTATCATTACTGTCGGTATATCTACAAGGATTACCATGGTGTAACGTAGGGGCTGACACTCACACGATGAAGAGGTTAAACAGATAGTATAATTGTTAAGGATATGATCTATCAAGCATGGTTGACGGCAAAGGCTTTCAT